TTCGATTTTTTCCGTATCATATTCGACAAGGCAGAAGATATGACATGAATAATTTTTGACTGGCGGATTTAAACTAAAGCACATCCATCGACTTATGCCCTGCCGGTTGTTTTGAGAAACGGCACGAAGATGCCAAGAGAGAAGAGTGAGTACGATTTATCGCTTCCGGCTCAAACTGGATCTTGTCGGAAAAGAAATGCCGATTTTTTAAAATTTTCTGGAGCACATATGTCTTTTCTTGATTAATTGATTAAATTCAGCCAAAAAACAAACGCTGCTAATACAGCATGAAAAAGTAAAATGCTTGCTGGGCAACAAAAGTACAAAAATTAAGGAGAAGAAAAGGAGTACGAAGAGGAGCTACGGAGTTATAAGGGGAAAAAGTGATGAGAACACGTGAAGTAAATAAAATGATGAGAACAAGAGAAGTAAACAAATGAACAAAATCAATGAACGACTCTGCAACAGCCAGAAAAATTCTTTCAAAAGTAAAAACATCCATTCAAAAGTAAAAACTTCCGCAAGCAGATCCATGAAGGAAATAACATTTTTTACAATACTTGCAAATCCCACTTCCTTCAGCCAACCTCCTCTCTCTCTCCTCCTTATGTACTTTTTTCTCCCGCTCTTTGTGAAAAACGATGGCATTCGGAAGTAACCTGTGATAGCACTTTGCAAAAATTTGTCACTTGCTGGCAAGACTGCTGGTGATGATTCCGACTTCCGGGGGTTGCTCGAAAGCAAAATGAGGGCGGTTTAACTCGCTCGTATGAAATGTACGCAAGCAGAACAGTTACCATCAACGCAAATTAACAAATCATAGGTAAAGTAACACGACTGCTTAAGCCTGCGAATACGCGCCATGCACTATCACACATTAGAGCTACTAACGCTACCGCACGGAGGAGCACACAACGTATTCGATTTTCTATCAAATAATTCCTGTTTTTTTCTGGAAATATTAAAGCTCTCTGTTGGCAATTTTCCAGAGTTCCTTCGAATTTCGCTGGAATTTTGCACAAATAAGTCACATTCAGATGGCGCACTGGTATGAGCCTGACTTTTAGTTCTGGACTATAAAAGACAGCTAATTTTTTTTCTTAAAAATCTCGAAATTCCAATCAGAAAATGAACGAGAAATGAGCGAGTAAACAATTTGTGCGTGTCCGCCCTCCGTGCATGCGCTCATGCTAATCAATCAACTAGTCGTTCCATTCGTTCCTCCACTGCTTCCCTGACCACAATTTGCCCGAGCTGCACATTTCGCATATAACGGAAGACTTAAGAGTAAGCAATGGACAGAACACTTGGACAATCAGAGCAAAACACTCTCGAAGTTACTGAAATGCACTTTTGCACACTGAAGCAGCTGAAGAGGACTGTCCCGCACTGAGCTACTGAATTATAATTTATCCGTGGTTATTATGATCGACTGTAAATCGGCCTGGGAAACTGTAACTTCAAATGATCCAGAAGGGAGAGATTCTTACACTGACAAGGAGCAAATGCAACTTGATTGAAACATACCAGGGTTATGTATGCCGCTAACTCAGGCTTCCACGTCAACAGAATACTAAATGCTTTCTCTTTCAGCCCCCTCCCCCGCTCCTCCCTTTTTTTGAGAATTAGAAAAATTTCCAGGGTTTGGGAAATTTTAAAAATGAACACTAGCAGAGAATTTTTCCAAAATGCAGTATGGTATGAAATTGCGGTGCAAACCTTTTTGCCTTCAGAAACTGCTTTGGCTAACCAAAACGTCTTCCTGTACATATTCAAGACCAGTGACATCGTTGTATCGGCTACTTCTTCAACACAATCACCGGGTGTGTTACATACAGCAATTCCTGCAACCAAAATGAACAGAATAGTGTATGCTTCCGCTTTCGAAACGAAAAGATGGCTCGCCGAATCTGTTTTATTGGACATGCATAGCCCGGTCTGTGTTTACAGCTAAGGGATGAAACACAGACTGCATTGAAAAATATCACC